CCTGTCTCTTATACACATCTAGATGTGTATAAGAGACAGGCCCAGCACAGCCCCACCATCACCCCCCCACACCCCCACAACCAACCCCCCAGTTCAGTTTTTTTATTGCGGATTCGGGGTCCTCTAGTGCAGCGCAGCACAGCCCCACCATCAGAAAAAAAAAATAAAAATTCCTGGCCCTGTTTTTGCGTCGCCCGGTTCACCCGGGCGGACCCCCCCGGGCCCAACCGGCCGGGCGCCGGTGCAGCCTAGTAATTTGTTGAGATTATAAGCTGTGCTACTTTGGCTTCATCTTTCTGGTCTCCAGTGTGAAAATTTGTGTGATCTCGTACATGTATGTGGTGTGATTGTGTGCGCTCACTGGTGTTGAACTAAAGAGGTTCATTGCACTTCCATCTGGCCGAAGGACCCCTGAACAGCACTGATTGCTCCAAACAATGGAGGATTGACTGTCAGCTTGCCTTTCCCTGTAATTCCTCTCAGGCTCTCTCGTAATGAACCCGCCAGATAGACAGTGATGCAAGGAAAACGGACAACACAAACTGCAACTGAATTCCCTTCGTTGCCCCGGTCGTGGGTGGGCGTTTCCTTTGATCTTGTGGCAGAACTATGGTGCTCTTCTGAGGTCTTGTGGTTCTGGATGGTGAGTTCCCTGAGGCTGAGTAGAGTTGTGCCAGTCCTTCCACTGGAGATGAAGTCCTTGAATGTCTGCTATCTTTCCTCCGGCCAGCCAGATTCTCGTAAATTTTGCCTGAAGTTCTTGCTGCTTGTCGGATTGTTCTGAATCTGGATTTTGACTTTCCTCCACTGACATAGAATCTCGACCTCGTTTACGTCCAGATTGGAGCTTTGGCGGCTTTGTTGAGGGTCGAAGAGATGAATTTGTCAAGTTCCTCATATTGATTACTTTGGAATGCGACTTCCATTTCTGAGCTATGCCACTCTTTCCACGTGATTCTGTATCCATCTGCCCACGGGATGTCAATGAAGGAATGGAGTTCTATTATCAATGCTCAAGACAGGAAAATATTTACAACCACCAGTACATCTGAACCTCTTTTGTACGAGGTGGATTCCCCTGCGCGCTAAGCGTTGCCGAAATGCCAGCACCGCATTTTTGTTTTCATTTTGGCTGGCACTGCCAGCCATTTTGGTCCGGTTGCCCTGGTGGTTTAAGTAGCATGTAGCAGCACCTTCCCAATGCTAATGGTTTCTTCAAGTTTCTTGTCTGAGCCAACCATCCGGTCACTCTTTTATGCTGAGGATCATTTGTCTGCTCCTGCGCTGGAGCAGAGCAATGTGTCAACACTCAGCGACCTTCTCCTCTGCATGGCTACAAATATTGTTAGGGAGAGGAAGACGGGGGCAAACATCCTGAGCAGTGACACTGGCTCTGGTTATCAATCAGGTTATCAGATAAGACAGAACTCACGACCCAAGCAGAACAGAACATAATGAAAAAGTTACCTGATGACCATTCCAACACCATATGCGAATGTTTGAATACATACCAAATTGAGCAGGGGAGATCCCCACAGTGCCATATTTTCGGCAGCCATCTAAGCTGATGGCTGCCCTCCTGTCCTGACTGTGCTCACCCTCCCCATGCAGTCCTATGTCTGATTTGCAGCCAGCGATGTCACAATGAATGCATGCTCACTGTGATATCTGTTGTTCTTGTCCTGGCCTTCATGCGTCATGCCATTTGTCAGGAGTGTTTTGTGGACATGGTCAATGCCAGCCATCATGGCACGGGTTGTGTTAAGAATGCTCACTCCTGTCATTCGTGTTATCACCCATGTCGTTCTGTGTTATCACCCATGTCGTTCCTGCCGATTGTGTGGAGAACAGACTCACTCCTGTCATTGCTGTTCCACACAACTTGCTTTCAGTTTGTCTTGTGCTGTGTCTTTTCTCTCTTTGTCTCCCTTCACTGCCTCTCTATCTTCCCTCTCTATCTTCCCTCTCAACCTCTCCGTGCTTCCTCTTTTTGTCTCTCCATATCTCCTCTGTCTGTCTGCCCAATCCCTTCACTCTGCATCTTTCGTGCGGTTGCTGTTATGGGAACTGGGGGTGTTGGCAGTTTGCACTCAACTACTTCAATGTGGGGAGCCTTCTCCCTGAGAGACACCATGAAGGGAGAGGAAATAATAAAAGAGAAACCGTGAAAAAAAGCCAAAAGAAAGAATACAAAAAAATGCACAGAATAAGGCAAATGAGCAGTTTCAGCGTGCCTCATGCTGTCTGCTCGTTTCTTCATTTGTTTCGCAAAGTGCACTCTTTCAGTTGATACACATGCCAGAATATAGTATTCACCTTTATCCTGCTCACTTTCGTCTCTCTCTCTCTCTCTCTCTCTCTCTCTCTCTCTCTCTCTCTCTCTCTATCTATCTATCTATATATATATATATTGTGCGCGCTGATAACACATTGCGGGGGGAGGGCGGGAAGTGGGGTTCACGAGGAGGCAGTGTGGTCAGGGAAGGTTCGAATGCAGGTTGGGTTGGCATGGTGTTATGCTGGAGGAGAGCAGGCAGAGGAAGGAGACGCAGGTGATCATGGAGGAAGTAGAGATATTTGTAGGGAAAGAGTCTAGTAGAAAGAGACGGTTGATGCGTGTAACCGGGATGGTAGAAGTGTGCAAGAGCCAGATGGGGGTGTGATGAGGGGGCTCTATAGGGGAAATGGGGGATGTGTGCTTGTAGTCGTGTTGCACGTTACACCACATTGAGAAGGGGGGAGGAAGGAGATTAGAAGGGAAAGCAGGGCAATATGTTGCAAGTGGTGGAGCTCCAAAGGGGAAATGGGGGGCTTCATGCTTGTAGTGGCGTTGTACGTCACACCAGGATGAGAGGGGGAGACGAAGGACATTAGAAGGGGAAGAAGGGCGATACGTTGCAAGTGGGTGAAGGATTGGATTGTACTGAGTAAAAAGGAATACGTACATCATGGGGGAGAATCAATGATGAATAAGGTTGTTAGAAACGACGAGGTCAGAATGAAAGAAGAGGCAGTATGGTGCACTAATGTGGGATGGCGAGTGAAGAAACAGATGAGCAATTTGCTATAGCTTACTAGTACCTTTTGTATTGTTTCTCTGCTGTTCCTTTCTGAAGAGCAGGTGGAGAAACGAGACAGAGACAGTAAAATGAGGGGGGTTATCCTGCATCTCCGCTTTTACCTTCCTGCCAGTAATGAACGGCTCGTGAAAGCAAGAAGTTCCCTTCGAGACAACAGCAAGTGGGAGACTACCAAGCTACTTAGTCTGATTTCCAATATACGAGAGTTTCAAGCGCTGTCTTCGATAGAGAACCTTCCTTTCCTGGACGTTATTCTTCGGCCTTGCCCTGAGCATGGGCAAACTGTAGCCAGAGAGCTGTGCTTGGGAGCCTTGCCACAGCCGCTGAGGGAGCGATTGGAGAGGGAGTACAATGAGTCTCAGCTCTCTGCGATTGCTGCATCAATAGGGCCAAAGCCCGGAGCCACTGAACAGGGGCATCACTTGGCACTTATCCAAGGCCCTCCTGGTAAGCATAATCGTAAGTCTTTGTGCGCAAAAAGATAGAGGTTCATGGAACTCTCGCGAGTTTTACTGCATTACACTTGCCTTCCGTAGCGTCTTTGTCTGTACCTTATTCCATTTGTCATCGTTTTTGTCAATTGCTAACTTCTGAAGCTTCTGCAAGGATTTTACCCCTCGGCGCACCTGCATAAGGCCCCTGCAGCAAACACATGCCGCCCTAAGTGAAGGTGGGCCCTGAATCTCAATGAGCCCTGAATATGTCAATTTTGGGCACCAGACAGTTACTGCGCACCAATTGGTTACATCTGCCTTGCTTGTGAAAATCAGAAACATATGTGAGCCTTCCAGGCTCTTCTGAAAGCACAGTCCAATCAGGGAGCACCACACACTTGCGCCTGGGTGGTTGGGCACACCTGACCAATTTGGGCCCAGGCCCGTATCTGAATGGTGCCTGGGCGCAGACACTGAGGCCTGGCGTGAAGCTACTGGGCACACGGTCCACCCAGCCCAGAAGCTTCCAGGCCATGTCACTTTCCATATAGGAAAGCGCCTGGCTACGGGAAGAGCATTTGGGCACTTGGACGAGCAGGCGGCCACGCTGCTGGAGCACATGCTCGCACATAGCGGCTAGCACCAGTGCAGAGACGCAAACACAGCCACGAGCTAGAGCACTGCATACAGGCAGCGCCATAGCCAGCCCTCATAGCCGGGCTTGGCTTGGAAGAAGGTCAGCGGGGGTGATTGGTGGTGGTCCTTGGTAGGCGGTAGGACGTGAGAGAAGAAGATGAGGGTGAACATACGAGAGCGGATGAGGGGGATGATGTGAGGGAATGTACCTGGTCTTGGCGGAGGTCTGCATGGTGGACATCTGCTTGTACTTGGGTTTCTGCTGCTGACGTCTACTGTTTGCTTCATCAATTGCAGACTAGTACTGTAGCTGTGTGATTGTAGTCTGGGCGCTGAGCGCCAAGTAGGAGGAAGGGTCCTGAGTACATTGTTGACGGTGGCGAGAGTATGCTCTCATTGACATTTGAGTTCGGTGCTTTGGTTATCCTCTTGTGGAATATCAGTGCATTTCTGCTTTCTGGACAGCTTTTGACTATCTGGCTTTCAATGTGATTTTGCAATCTGGAATTCTGCGATTTCGCTATTGCTCATTTTCCTTGCACTTCAGATCTATTCAAATCCTCTCTGCAAGGCTGTGATTATTGAACCTTCAGATGTTTTCCGATCCTTGTAATGTATTGCTGCAATGTATAGGCAAATGCCTCAGAATGTTTTGTGGAATACCTGGCAATCTGTCAGTAGGATTCAGTACTTACTACCCAGCTGATTGTGGACGCATCTCAGTAAACAGATCATGAGTTGGAATCCTGACGGAAGATCTGGAATCAAATCAATACAATAATGCTAGGAGCTACCCCTTTAAAAAAGAACCAGCGGAAAGGTGAAAAGAGGAGTCTGAGCTCGGTGACATGTGAATTTTGAGAGGTGATCATGTGGTTTACTTTATGCTTTTTGGACTTTTTTACGCTCTGTGCAGGGACTGGGAAGACACGGACAATTTTGGCAATTGTCAGTGCCCTGCTGGCATTGTGGGCGCACAACCTTGAAGCACGGCGAAACACATCCCAAAATGGTTGCGTTGGAAGAGGTGAGGCTTCCGACATGCTTGGTGCTCATCCAACTCGCCACCGTAACCCTTTTGCTCGTGGATGGTGAAGTTATGCTGGCATGGTATGAGGGGTCCTTGGTTAGTAAGCAAGGAAGCATTCTGTTGGCCGAGCCCCTTCGGATGTGGCTATTATACTACTCGGACAGAAAAATAGTTGGGAGACATAGGGATGGTTTAAGTCATGTCTGTCCTTTTGATGTTGCTTGCTTCTGCATGGTGCCTTTGATACCCATGTGTATCTGTGCAACTCTGTTGGCCATGGAGAGAAGGTGGGTAGATTATTGCGACTGCTGAAGACATCCAGCTATGTTACCAGTTGTAATTGGAGAAGATCAAATCTAAGAGGGCCAAAATAAAGGAAAAGAGGACCAGCAAAATGCTCACCTGAATAAAAGACTAACCCTATCCTTAGAGCTTCCACATGACAAATGAAGGACCCTCGAGGGATAGGGTTAACAGATCACTCCCCAAAGATTTAAACCATAGTTACCAACTGGACGTCCAGATCCCGATCCAGACAACCCGGTGTCCTGTTTGGAGGGTCCGGTTGGACCCCGATTTTGAAAAATTCAATTTTTTTTGGGGGGGGCTCCCAGGCCGTTTACCTGGGCCTGGGGCACCCCTGAAAAATAATGCTGATGTTTTTTGAGAACCGGTACCCCAACTGGTCAGGCCCTGAAAGGGCCCTCTGTGTGATAACATTGGCACACAAGTTCACTGCTTTGCTCTTATTTGGATGGAATCTTGGTGCATTTGAGCTCTCTGCTTGGTACATGACTATCTGGACTTATGCGTGATTTTGCAACTTGATTTTCTGTCTCTCTCTCTCGCTCATATTCCTTGCATTTTTGTGACGTGGGAGGAGGGTCTGGCCGATGGGAGGGGCGAGCAGGGATGGGAGGGCGATGAAGGATGGGACGGGCGAGCAGGGATGGGAGGGCAATGACGAATGGGAGGGCGATGACGCCGGAAAGAGATGAGCGACATTGGATACTGTGTTGGTGGGGCCTGAGGGCGCTTATTTGGATGGAATCTTGGTGCATTTGAGCTCTCTGCTCGGTGTGTGTGTGTGTGTGTGTGTGTTTTAAATTTTAATTTATTTATCCGGACAAGCGGACACCAACACAGCAAACCGGACTGTCCGGGTCCGGATGTCGGGATGTCCGGTTTGATGTCTGGTTAACCGGACGTCCGGTTTGATCCAAACACGGGTCCGATGTCTGTGTCCGGTTCTCCGGTTGTCCGGGTCCGGTGCAACAATGATTTAAACTCACAACAGAAGAGGACATATTAAAAGAAAGCAAGAACCAACCAGAACTCAAACTCACCTCATGAAACGTAAACGGCCTGGCCTCCTATCCTAGACAACCCGGTCAAATGGAGAAACATAACAGAAACCATCGGCTGGTTCCAACCCACCACACATAATTTGCCTCCAAGAAACGCACCTGACTAACAGCGTAGAACACAACAAAATCAGAACTGCCATTGAACACAAATTAAAATTAGTCAAACTAGTGATCTGGTCACATGCAACTCCCAATGGCTCCGCAGGCACAGTTATCCTTCCTTGTCAACAGTTCCCGGCCAATCACAACACCAAAATAGACAACTATAGTCAAGACGATACAGGTAGGTGGGTAAAATTAAACATTACATTCAAGGAAGAAGAAGTGGCGATACTGGGACTCTACGGCCCGCCCACTTACCAAGAAAAAGAGCCCTTCCTTCAGTCAATAGAACCCTTAATCACCAACCACACCCACACAATCATCATGGGAGACTGGAATTTAGTCCATGATCACTCCTTAGACAGAATTTCCAACACAATTGATACTTCCCAAGGGGCGCTCAGCCAAGAAATGTCCGATTTCATTCTCATGGAAAACCTAATGGATCCTTTTCGCCTACTCTATCCAGACACCAAAAGATTTACATGCATAAGAAGAACTTCAAATAGCAGAACCTCCTTTTCTAGGATAGATTTCTTCCTCACCTCAGAATCCATCACAGGAACCATAATGGACTGCACCATTGAAAGCTCACCCTACCATTCAGGACTAGACCGTAAGGCCATCACCCTCTCCCTCAGATTCACCAAGACCTGTCTCATAGGCAAAAGTTTCTACAGATTCAACAATGCCCTACTCACTAGCCAACCCTTCCAAACTGAACTCAAAAACCTCCTCTCAGAAACCGCTCACCAATACCACAACGAGGACGTCCTCATCTCATTCCCGAAAATTATTAGCGAAATCAGCAAAAAAATATCAATAATATTAAGAAAACTTGCAGCACAAAAAAAACAAAGACAGGAGATGTTAAAAGATGCAATCGAAATAGCGAAATTTAACTTACAACATGACCCCACCTCAGCACCCTTCACAGACCTGCTAGCCAATGCGAAAGAGGAATTATCAAACTGGACAAAATTCCGCCTCAGAGGCCTACTTCTAAGAGCCAGAGTTAGAGATTGGGAAGTCAACGAGAAGATGACCAAATATTTTTTCCAGAAGATTAAATCAAACTCTAGGAATTCAAAAATAGAAAGCCTCATCGATAACCAGGGTGATCCCTCGTCAGAAACCACAAAACTAGTCAATATAGCAGCCACCTTCTATAAGGACCTCTACGCCAGCAAATTTCCCCTAGATAGAACCAATGAAACAGTCAGAGCCAGATCTAAATTTCTGTCCCACCTAGGACGCTCACTCTCACCAGAATCAACAAACAGACTGGAAGAGCACATCACACTAGAGAATTGCACAGTGCTCTTAAAGATTTTAAACCCAACAAAGCTCCAGGCAAAGATGGTCTTTCCAAAGAATTATGGATGGAAAGCTGGCACGTCCTGGGACACCTCTTCTTCGCTTCCTCAACAAAGCATGGGAAGAGGAATCCCAGGGTCCCGACCTGAGCACCAGAGTCGTTACCCTTCTCTACAAGAAAGGAAACAAAGAAGATATCCGAAATCACAGACCCATCTCCCTGCTAAAGGTAGTCTACAAAATCCTAGCCAAACTACAAGATAAACCGTATAGGGAACACATATTTCCATATAGAACAAATGGGCTTCATCCCAGGCAGCTACATTCTCGACAGTGTAGTGACCCTATACAACTGGGCAAATTACAGCAGCCCTATTATACTCTGATTTCGAGAAAGCTTATGACCAAGTCAACTGGTCTTTTCTACAATCCTGCATGGAAAAAAATGGGAATAGGACCGAATTTTCGAAAATGGGTGAGAGTCCTATACAACGATGCGCAGGGAATAGTTCAAGTCAACTGTCCAACCGCTACAAAATGATCAGATCAGTAAGACAAGGAGACCCTCTAGCAGCACCTATTTTCCTCTTTGTCATGGAAGCCATTGCATCTTTCCTTAGAAATGATGAGTCCATAGAATGTCTAGAGGGCATCAAAGATGAAAGAGGACACCCACTTCACCTACCGACCACCCTCCTCTTTGCAGACGATCTAACAGTACTCACCAGAGCTTCTGATTCCTCCTTCCAAGCATTAATAAGAGCAATGCAAGCATTCCAACTAGCGTCAGAAATGAAAGTTAACTGGACGAAAACAGTTGGTTGGTGGCTCTCAGACACCCAGCCCCCACACGAATTCACGCCAGAAGGGATGCAATGGTCTGACCCCTCTTCGCCCACGCGCTTCCTGGGTATAAAGTACTATAAACCTTAGCTTGAAAGGTTGTCACCCATCTTCGCCTGCCTCTCTAATGTCCTCAATGATTAACAGGATGCTCAGTTGGCAAAGCGCTCGCAACTCACTCCTAGGTAGGGCACTAGCTCTGAACAACGTGATACTAGCAATGATGTTGTACGTCACCACCATATGTTTCCCATCCCCAGATTTTCAAAAACAAATGCGAAAAAGAGCTTCAGCGTTCCTTTGGACTGGAAACCCAGACAACCAACACTTCATTCACAAAGTGGGCTGGCAAATAGTCACCCAATCCAAGGGAGAGGGGGGACTAGGCATTATAGATCCGGCTAGCCAGATTCAAGCACCACATATCAAATGGATCATTAGACTTACCCTTGAAGGAAATTTACCCTGGATATAACTAGCACTCTACCACTTAAGAGATCTGGCACCCTTCATACCCCGCCCTAACATGACAGGCCTCTTTTGGATCTTCAATAAACAGAGGACCCTCCTGAGAACCAAGAAAGGCGCAACAGACGTATTACACCAAGAAGAAGAGGAAGCCAACTCTCTCCCAAAACCTTCCGAGAACAACTAATACAGGCATGGAGAAGAATTTTCCCAGGCAACAAAGTAGGCCCAAAAAAGAGAGACAGAAGTACTCAGACAGCCCTTATTTGGCAACCCTTGGATCCTGGACGAAAACGGAGAATCCATCCCACTCAACAAAACAAACGCTAAATGGGGTCTATGGTTGGAAAAATGTGTATGGCAAATCCGTCACCTGTGGAATGACGCGGGTAACAGATGCAATACAGCGGGAGAGCTAAGAATGAAACTCCAAGGAAAACACAACTTGGATTCCAACTTACCTCTCATCATAGACTCCATCCCCATGGAATGGAGAAGGCTACTGAAAAATAAGCAACAATGGCTTTGGGGGGACTGGGCGTCGGCGTCAACAACGAATCAAGGGCAACTTCAAGAGGTACTTGGAATTTTAAAACCAAAACTCCAATACAATGAATGGATCCTCTGCTCCATCTTCTCACTAGAGGACCCTGGCAACCGTGCAAGCCTTATTTCTCAGGACCCTAGAGCAGAAGGTACCTTCAGAATAGACAGACTCAGAAGACTTAGAATCATAGAAGGGGAATGAAACAGAGCATACAAGCCAGATACAACAATACAACACTTAGAAACAGACCCCGCAGAATGGTCATGGAGCTCTTCCAGTAGACTTTCTCCCGTGGCAAGAAAACACGCCTTAAACCACTAGTACCTCCGCCAGTGTTGGGAAATTTCGATGTT